GGAAATGTACTAATTTGCTTTGGATGTTCCTCAATACCTCACTTTTGCTCCTCTATTGAAAACAATAGAATTTAAATTCTCATTGACTAAATTTTCTAAGACTTACATATAATAGAGTCAAAGGAGAAATATAAAAAGGGGAGTATTAAAGTTTCAGGCAGCAATTATGGTTATAATAGAAAAGTATATTATTTTGGAGAAAGCAATATTATAAATGATCAAGTGTTGAAAGTGAAAACTGAGGAAGGGAGTTTATAAGTAATACAAGTTTATTTTAGCGAATTTCTAAGTATTCAAGAGAATCCAGCTCCTCATATATGGAAATGTGGATTTTTAAAAAATTAATTGATTTCAGAGGAATTATGTTTTTATAGGGTATATATTCTGTATACTAGAAAACACAATTTGAGTAATTAAAGTTTTGGTTGCTTTTATTTAACACCAAGTAAAATTATTAACATTTATACCAATTATGAGAATGAAGATTAAACATCTCTTGCTGTGAGAATGACGATAATTATTTTCCACACTGCCCTTTGAGGGGAATGGATCCTGGTAACTGATGAGTTCTTTATTTACAGGGCAGGGGAAGTAGGGGTGCTAAATGTGGTTATATGTTTATATGTTCCAAATTAAGAATTGTGATGGAGGCAAATTGCTCTGCATAACTCAGAGAGAGAGAGATGTAGAGGAAGGTCCAGAAGCTGCAAAGAACCCCAACAATGAGGCAGGACAAGATGAAGGCAAACAGGGAAGAAGGAGAATTCCTGGTTGTTGGAATAGCCAGGAGAATTAAGAGAACAGATATGTTTGCTGGAGATTTGAGGAGTGTATTCCATCCACCTGTATAGTCTATGTAAATTCTAGATCACTCACTAATGCTTTCAGTATAAGTAGATTATTTCAAGGCTCATGTAAAGAGATTCAGCATTCTACTTATTGGCAAGCACTGGCCTGTGAGTCAACTTACTAAGAGTCTGGGTTGCATTAAACTATAAGGTCTGAAGGAGGAAACATTTTTAGGCCAAGAAAGACCAAATATCTGCTATAATGAACTATGGGTCTGGCTCTGAGCTAAAGTCAGTGGGTGAAACTCTACTTACATAGCCTCAAAGTATTTCCCAAAACATGTGTTAATTAGTTTGGTGGTTTTAACATATTTCAACATATTCTTTGATATTCTTCTTTGGGAGGTAGGGCTTAATTCCTTTCCCCTTGAGTGTGGGCTGGGTTTAGTGACTCTCTTCTAATAAATATGGTATGGAAAGGGAAGCATACTAACTTGATGGTAAGAAAACTTGGCAGACAGTAGCTTTTCTTGAGCGTTCAAGGTTAACATCACCAGTCATGAGTCATGTTGTTATGTTCCTTACAATGTGATACAACAAGGACACTTACACTCTGTGGTATCCTTCCCCCAAACTTAAAAGTTCTGTCTAATCATAAGAAGACATCAGACAAACCCAAACTGAGGAACAGTCAACAAAATACCAATATCCTTCAAAAATGTTAAGATGATAAAAGATAAAGAAAAGTCTGAGAAACTTCCACAGATCATAGGAGACTAAGGAGACAAACTGACTAAATGCAGCCTAGTACTAAATGCATCGTGAATTGGATGTTGGAACAAAAAGACACTAGTGGAACAAGTAGTGACATTTGAATAAAGCCTATAGATTAATAGTTTGTAACAGTGTTCAGGTGGTAGATTTGATAAAGGTGCTGTGGTTATATAAGATGTTTATTTTTGGGAAAGCTGGGTGAAGTGTATGTGGGAACTCTGAGCTATTAATATCTTGACAATTCTTCTGTAAACTTCAAATTATTTCAAAAAACAAAGATTTAGAACCCATTCAGGAGATTTTTTTTCCTGCAGAAAAAAATAAAATGATGAATTATAAAAACAGGAAAAGGTTTGACCTCTTTGATTTAACACAAAAATGCAAAAATGTTTGTTTTTCAATATCACTACACTGTGATAACAGTTTTTCAATACAGACAACTTGGTGCTTCAAAGAATATGGTGATTAAAAAAGGTGGAGAACTCTAGAAAGCCCGCTAGTATATGAAGGACATAGTTCGCCAATTATAAAGTGAAATTGTTTGTCAGAGATTATAAAGAGATATTTATTTTTACATTCTATAGGATTAGTTTACTACCTGATATGTGCCTAGTACTATCTTAGAAATAAAGTATGATTATGACAGACGAGGTCTTTGGCCTTCTGAAACTTACATCATAGTGACCTGGAAGCTTTTATGTTACTATTTAGAATTGTATGCTTCTTGGTAAATGAAGATTATTTTGATTGAAATAAAATTTTGAATGATTATTCTGAGTGTTTAAATAAGTACAAATAAGTATGTATATATAAATTATATATGTATGTATATATAAATATAAATATATATTATATAAATATAAATTAAAAATATAGTGAACTCTTGGGAAATGCTAACATATCTTTCTCATTTCTGAATTTGAAATGTTACAGATTTTTAAAATTTAATTTTTGCATATCATGGGAAAGGGTCAAAAATGGATTAATTCTAGGTAGCACACTGGGAAAATTTCTCCTCTGGAGACTTTTTGGGGTTCAAAACTTAAGTCAATTAAACTCAAGATTTGTAGCATGAGGTTGTCAAGTTTTAAAGACTCAGCTGGTGACTGCTTTTTTTATATCAGTAAGCAGAGGATAGAGGAAGAAACAATCTGAAATAAGAGAGACATAAAATCACATTAGAAGAATCATTTAATGTTAGCAACTTATGGTTGACAGTTACAGAGTCTTCCAAATTAGATTTTGAACTCAGCTTTGGAATGGCTCTTGCATTTGGGCCAAGTCTTTCTTATTTGAAGTTGTCCTGTTCTCCTTTTCATGTTGTCCCCTCAAATGACCTCATCTGGCTTGGGTGAACCTTCACTGAATACTCATGTGGAATGGCTTCTGCTCAGGAGTTTGAATATAGAAGTGGAGGCTGTTTATCATTTGATGAACTTGTCAACTGCATGAAGAAGTCTTCCTTCTAATCGTTCCTTTGTGGAAAAGCTCAGGCTAGTTTTTAGACCAATAAAGATGTACTGAATCATGTGCTAGATTGAGTTAAAAGCAAAAACAAAAACAAAACAAGTATTGAAAAGAAAGATACCTGATTAAGTTTAACTCATTAAAAAATATTGAGCTAGGTTGGAATGATGATGTTATAGAATATGTTCAAAATTTTATAAAGTGAATTAATTAAAAAATGTAGCAACAGCTTCTTCATATCTTTTTCTTCATATTTCTGTCTCACACACACTCACACAGGGTCATTGGATGGGGAGAGACTGAGGAAGCATGGAAAGAGTAGAGACGCCAACAGTCATTTTCAAATTTCTAGGATGATTTTGTTCAGGAAAAATTTATAAACACATCCCACATGCTAAAATTGAATCTATACACACATAAATATTATCACAAATTCCACTTACCCTATGATAAAGAACAAATATCAGAATCATTTGATATTACCTGAAAGGCATTATGATTTTTAATACTTTATCAATACTGATAATTCCATAATAATTGTAATAGATGCCTTTTATTGTACACTTCTTATGCAATGTTATGCTATATGTGCTTTATAAGTATCAATCTATTTAGTCTTCACCACTACCCTATAAGGTTGGTATTATTATTTCAATATGGAGAGGCAGTGCCACTCAGGAATTAAGAGGTAGGCCGCCAGAATCTACATCCTGTCTCTATCACTAGTTAGGTGATCTTGGGCAAGTTATTTAACTCCTTGTGCCCCAATTTCTCCCTTAGTAAAATGGGTTTAATAATAACTTATGGAATTATCATGAAGATTAAATGTATATATTTAATATATGTAACATATTTATACTTATAAAAGTGTTCTACTCAAATCAAAATTATTTTTGATTTTGATGATGCTTCTCTGCCTTTTTAATCAATTGCTATTTTACTAGTGAGAATGAGAACCATGGCAGAGGGGGCTGTAATCTCATGGGTAGGGGGTCATGCTTATTTTATATACACATATATTACCAGCCCCTAGGACAGTTCTGACACACAGTAGAAGCATTTAGAAAATATTTGTTGAATGTGTAAGTTAATAAATTGATTATAGTTGAGTATACTTTCATCAAAGCAGTTTTTAACATACTTTTCTGTTTGCCTATGAGTTTTTTGTTTTCTATTGAACTTGTTGGAAAAGACTTCTGGCGACCTGGCTTTTCTCAATTTGTATGGCCTTTATATGTACAACTTGCTAAGTCAAAATGCTAAAATTCTCAAAATTTTTAAACAAATGGGATGCATTTCAGGTGTTATGAAATGTTGCTCCAAGTATTATTTTTTCCTTAAGTTCAGTTTTGTATGAACATAGAAACAAACCCAAACAAATACTTTTGTGGTTAACTCTTGATATTTGTATTTTCTTAAAGTTCTTTTTTCCATTTTATTAAAGAAGGGAAGCTGTAGAAAAGAATTTCTACATGAAATATGGTTTCAAGAGCCAGTTATGTGTTGTGATAAAATGTCATATATGTAATAATGATGCAACAAGCATGTTTCTTGTTAACAGTATTTTTTCATAATTTGAAAAACTATCTAGTTTTTGACAGTATGTCTGAATAGTTAAGTAGCTCATATAGCTCTTAAATACTGTTATTTCAGTGAGTGGTAAGCTTTGTTGGTTTTTAAGAAAACTGTTTGCTATCTAGGCTCTCTAAATATGTAAAAAATCCCCAAAGATGAGGAAAAAAATGAAACTAAATGAAAATTAGGAATATCAGGAAGTTGTTTGTATTTTATCTCTGAAGTGTTCTTAAGGTTTCGGTGAATAAGCAGGTTGTAATTTATTTATAGATTTTTGTGCAACCTATGATCATATTCTCCTTAGCCTTAATGAATAAATAGTAAATCCTAGTGGTGACTTTCAGTTTTATACATATTTTGGAATAATACATTATTTTTTCTCCTCTTTCATTCTAGGCTCTGCAGAAACAAGAAGCTAAAGCAGATGAGGATGAGGGAGCAATAAAAAATAAGCTAAGACAAACTGAAACTGAGAAGAATCAAGTAAGATTTTAAAAGTTGTCTATCAGAGAGTAATATGGTTTGAGGCCCGTGATGTTTGTTGAGTGCCTTGAAATGTGTCCCTACAATCACTTAGAACACTGAAGGCTTTATCTTTTGATTTCGAGTCAATTGATTCAACAGCTCGCTACTTGCTTTTGGAAGTAGATATAGAAGTCACCTGCTACCTTTTTATCTATGGCTGCTCTCCTTTTTGAGAAGTAAATTAAACTTTACTTTTCCTTGCTGGGGAACATTTAAAGGACTTGACTTTGTTGAAGGGTTAGGAAAGGCCTGTCATTTGAAGGTAATATTTTGGCTACATTCATGTTCATTATAGAGTTCTGAAGACCTCTCCTATTCTCATTAAATATTAGGACCTTTGACTTATACTGATGTCTGTGAACACAAAGAACCTAGCATATTATAGTAAGCAAGGAATTTAGGGGCCAAACAGCTCTCCTTAATTTGCAAATGAGTACATTTAAGAATGGGCCCAGTGTAATGAATGGAGTAAAAATTTCCCCTGTACTTGACTTGATACCACTTTTTTCTATATACCATTGCCTCCTCTACTTTATTTCACCAACCTATGTAATGTTCAATAGTGCTTCCATGCTGTCTTTATGGTAAGCAAGACATGTCATGCCATCAGATTTGCCCTTTGGGAATTGACACTGCTGATATTACAGAGGGATTGTGACCAGCGTGGGCTTTGGTTGATTTCTAAGCCATTTGACTGAAGTGTGATTTCTTCCCTCTTTATTTCTTCATAGAGATGAGAGAACAGATCAGGCATTATTTTGTGTGATTTCTGTGATCCTACATACACTTTACTTTTTAAAGATACGACTTTTATTTTACGAGACACATGTATGATTTAAAAAAAATTACATAACTGGATTAAAAATTTATTTTGAAATAATTATAGAATCACAGGATGTTGCAAAACAAAATGCACAGAGAAGTTCCATGCACCCAGTTTCCCTTCATGGTAATGTTTTGCATAATTGCCATTCAAAATCAAAACCAAGAAATTGGCATTGGTACAGCTACAGAGCTTATATACATTTCACAGCTTTATGTGCACTAATTTGTGTATTGAGTGTATTTTCATTTGTATCATGTAGATTCATGTTATACTACCCCAATCAGGGTGCTACAAAACTGTTCCTTCACCTCAAGGCTCTCTCGTGCTGTTTGATAGGTACAACTACCCCATGTATAATTTTTATAGGACTAATATATAGATAGCAATTTCTTCAAATTAAATGATATTTTGAGATAAATATTATAAATATAAGCACTTAAAAACATCTTGATATAAATTTGTGATTTTAGAAAACAACCTTCCTGTTACAAAATGCAAACAAGTCTAGCACATGTAAGTTCTAAATTTTCTGAAAATTTGCATCCTTATATTTTCAACTTGAAATCAACTATGCATATTCAGACTTTGTAGAGTGTTTAGTCACCTAACTGGCCACATTTTTCATGGATATTTATCTAATGGCAGTTTTATTAAGGCAATTTTAAATGTCTTGCTCTGAATTTAAAAATTTAATAATTTAAACAATATCTTATGAATGTTAGAAATATTAGGAGTATAAAAAATCAATTAGATGAAATATACTTTGAATCATTGTGTCCTCCTTACAGTTTTTATCCTAATTTAGTACATTTCACACTACATGTTCTTTCTTTTCAAAAAAAATTGCTTTAGAATTTAGATGAAAATGATTTAGAACTTGAAGGGATCTCAGAGACTGTCTAATATAAAATCCTTATATAGGAGATGACACAGTGGAGGCCTAGGGAGGGGACACTTGGACTGGATCACAGTTGAGATGAAACCATCTAGATCCCAGACCTCCTGAGGCAGGCCTAATGCACTCTATGTTATGTAATTAACATTATTTTAATGGAAATATTGATATGTTTATAGTGAGATATTCTTTCATATTAGCTGTAAATATCTTCTGAAAGCTTTTCCACGTCTCTCCTCTTAAACTGTGCCTGTAATAATTTCGTTATCTTCTGCTCCATTGGACATTTCTCTTCTCTTTTGAAACTCTAGCTTGAACAAGAATTGGAGCTATCTCGAAGGTTATTAAATGAATCAGAAGGCAGCAGAGAAACACTTTTGCTTCAGGTAAGTCTATAAAGCTATGATAATATGCTTTTACATTAAATCAGGGTTGAGTCTCTTTCTCTAAATGTCTTTGTGAAAGGAAAAAAAATTAGTTCTAGGAAAATTTTTTCCTAAGGAATGTACATTAGCACACATAAGCAAAAGATGAAATCCTTTCAGGACATTCAGAGAAAGCTAGTACAAAACACTGGCTGAAGTTCCCACTGTGACAGTGTATCTTGCTGATTGCTGCTACAACTTACTACTTATCTCTCTTAGCATGAACAGTGTAAAAGTAAGACTGGATGTGTAAGATAAAATTTCCCAGAAGCTTAATTTATTCAAGGAGGCATTGGAGAGTAAAAGAGGAAGTAAAATATATAAAACATACCTTCGCACATTCAAGTTACTTTGGATACATCATTGTCTTTAATTCATGTTTTCAAGATGCTACCTTGCCTTTTTTAACTAAAGATAAGGTTTAATTTTTAAGCGTAACATTTTGCAGTCCATTTGCTGATAATGGAAGGTTGGAGCTTCTGATATTTAAAAGTTCAATAACTTTAAAACAACCATCTTACATGCATTGGATAAGGGCATATGGGTTTCTAACTGCCTCTCTGCCTTGTTTAATACAAACTAATTCTGTTTTGAGGTGTGTGTTACATAACTCACCTACATAATATGCTAGGTAGGCAAAGATGTCAGGTATTATAGATGTTCAGAAGGAGTATTACATTTTGACAATTGGTGCTGAAAATATACCATAGCACCTGTTTTACAAAACCTTTAAAAATGTTCACTGACTTTGTTCTACAGCCAGTGGTCACATGGAATTAATTTTGGCAGAGTTTAGACTTTCTTTTTTGGAAGTTTTTGTTTGTTTCCACTTCTATTACAATTTTTTTTGAACTCTAATTTATAATCTCTAATTTCAGTTTTTGAAGCAAGAGATTTCTTTGTTCAGGTGGTCATTGTGATTTCAGCTGAATCTTTTGCTACTGTTAACTTGTTTAAAGGTCATTAGGGAAGTACCTGCTATGTGCTAGATAATTTGGTACTCTGAAAATATAAAGATGAACAAAATAGTTCTTGAATTCAAAGAATTTATAGTTTATTCAACAGTATTTATTGCTTATTTATTTTAAGCACTACTTTGATATCAAAATATGCTAAATCATGATCATTTCACTTGAATTTAACAAGCAATAGACCATATTTATATGAAAAAAATAGTTGAAACATAGAAAAATAGAAAAACATATAGTACTTACTTGGACTTAGTTTGGGTTAATAGTAGTGGAGTGGACTGAGGACAGAGTAAAGAATTTAAAAAATGTGGTCAAATCTTTTGTCACATTGGACATAGAGAAGGAAAAAGACATTCATTCTTTGTGGGAGGAATAAAGAAATGGAACAGGAAACTGTCCCACTGTGCTTGGCATAACATGGAATTAACTTGGTTTCAACTTGTGTTTACAATAGCCCATCAGAAGTAAATTTTTTTCCCCAGGGAAATAATTTATAATAACCTGTAAGTTCAACTTTTTTCCTGATCTTGAAAACTGATGAAAGTTTGCTTTTTTGACCCTATGTACTTAGGTAGAAGAACTGCGTACACAACTTACCAAAGCAGAAGGCGATCGAAAGGGTTTACAGCATCAAGTATTTCAGATTTCCAAGCAACAGTCTAAGAATGAGGATGAACAAGTAGTTGACTGGAGGTTTAGGAGAGGTATAATTCTGACTTTGTAAAATGTGTGGGGTTTTTTTGGTCTTTCTTAGAAAATACTTTTCATTCTTAGAATTTCATTCCTTGTGTTATGCTCATGTCATCCTATTTCTTGTTCTATTACAAAGTTTTCTGACAAGTTGATCATAATTTAGTATTCAATTTCACTGTCTTCTCTGCTTGATTTCTAAACCCACTTTGGTTGTCAGACCTGCTTATCTACAGGGCTTTCTTGAGCCTGCAAAAGCAGTGTTGGGCAAGTTTTTCCATCTTCCTATTGCCACAGCTAAATGTATGTATGTGTGTCTGTGTGTATAGTTTGTACTTAAATTGTAAATGCTTGTCTATTTTTCAGTTTTCCTTGTCTCAGTGTTTAATGTATGAAAAATTACAATTAAGGACCCTATCTTTTTTGTTATTTGGAGATTGGTGACGAAAATCAATCACATTCTGGCAGTGGTCATAAACCATATTACTGGCTTTTTCTTATGTGGATTAGGAATACCTTGTGTTTGAGAAATGTTAGAATACCTTCTCAGTGGAGTTGTTTATTTAAATTGTGGAACTTAATTACTCTGGATGTTAGTTCAGGTTTAACAAAAATGGTAATATTGAAATTTTGTAATGGTTTCTAATAGGGTGAGTCCAGATTGCTCTGTTTATATGTTATTTTAATAATGAGGCTTCCTACTCAAATGCCCAGATTATTGGAGAAGCTCTCATAAGCATTTGATATACTATTAAATTCAGGGAAAGTATTTCCCTAGGCTTTCCAAACATAATTCAATATGTTTCCTAAGCTAGAATTAACACATTGCCAGATAATCTTCAATGGATGAAAAATTTTGACAAAGGTATCCTAATATATTGTCTTAGTCCATTTTTTTCATTGCTATAAAGGAATACCTGAAGCCAGGTAATTTATAGAGAAAAGATGTTTAGTTAGCTCATAATTCTGCAGACTATATAAGAAGCATGGCACCAACATCTGCTCAGCTTTGGTGAGGGCTTTTGTGCTTCATCATATCAACGTTGAGAAGGTCAAAGGGGAAGTGGGCATGCATGAAGAGGGACTGAACCCAAGATGGATTCTGGCTTTATAACAACTCACTCTCTCTATTCCTTTAGAACCAATCCAGTTCCAGGAGAACTCACTCACTATCACAAGGAGGGCACCAACTCATTCATGAAGAATCCACCCCCATGACCCAAATACCTCCCACTTGTCCCACCTCCTGATACCACCACATTGGGGATCAAATTTCAAGGAGCAATGAGGGCAAACAAACCATATCCCAAAGCAAAGCATATGTCTATTTGTTTGCCTTTAAGTTCACTTAAGTTTCATGTGGTTTTACAATTTAAATATCATTTGCCATCAAATATCATTTATTTTTAAAAGTAAAATCCTAAACTATTAGATTATTCATCAGATTTCATAAAGATACACATAGGAATTGTTGGAAAAAGACTCTGGGACATTTGTTATATGCTTTGATACCTCATAAATCTAGTTATCTTTGGTGTATATCTTTGAGGGCTAGAAAAATCTAACTTTTCTTAACTACTTACTAGGTTTTTAAAACAATCTAGAAGTTCTCTTATCAATGTGATAATGTAATTCTTCACCTTCTTTTAATAATTATGGAGTTTTTTTTTATTTTTATAGAATATATGTATTATTTAAAGACATTTCTACGTAAGAAATCGTACTCATTGTCACACTTGAGCTGCTGTTTGTTCTTTTGCCCACTGCGAAATGGATTCCCCCTCTGTTTCTAGTGATCACCTCAATTTCAAAGGAATCTTTTTATTACCTAAGTTCCTGTCAGCTGTTTATTTCCTGTTCCTTCTTGAAACTCTTCCACTGACTTAGATGCCCCTAGCCTTTCCTAGTTGTCTGCTTTAGTTGTTTTCATTCTTTTTCTTTGAATGTTTTTTTTTTTTTGTTCAGTTTGTCTTTTAAATGTTGGTTTTGCCTAGTATCTTATTCATGGCTTTTTTTATTTAGTATTTCCCCCTAGGGATTGTTATTTAATTTTATGCTATACTTATCACCTATAAATGATAATCCCTATATCTAGTTCCACTCACTCTTCAGCCCTCCAGATGGAGCTGCTCACTGAACACCTCCATATGCTATTCCACAGAATGTTTAGTCAGGAGATTCACGACTGAATTCATCCTCTTCTCAAAACTTCTTTTTGGTTCCTGTCTCAATTGATATCGTCATCCTCCATCCAGATATCCAGGCCCAAAACACAAAGAGCATCAAAATTATTCCTTCTCCCCATCACCTAATTAGTCCCTACATCCTGCCTATTTTATACACTCTGATATCGCTTGAATTTGCCCCATCCTTTTTTATTTTTTCACGGCCCCAGCTTAGGCATGCTTCATCTTACCTGTACTCTTTTAACTTGTCTTACCTTATTCTGGCTCCACTGTAATCTGTCTTCTATACAACTACTGAAGGTACCCTGCTCTAACACAAACTCTTTTGATTAAAACCTCTCAGTTACAATTTATTGAGCTATTACTATACACAAAGCCTTATGCTTTTCACCTTACATTGTCTCCCTTACTTCATACAACTCCTTTCTGAGAAGGGTCCTATTCCTACTTCGACTTTAATGATTAAAAAGGGATTGAAGAACAAAGAAATTGAGTAACTCTCCCAAGATCACACATGTGGCAAGTAGCAGACCCAAATCTTTTCTTTCTCAAACTTGAGCTCTTAACTGCCACCCTATACCATACTGACCTAAGCATTCTCCAAAATGAAGTGTATGAGACAATCCTCTGGACCTGGGAGGAGACTGTTTGTAATGCTATTTATATTTTATGTTTTAAATGTTTTAATTTTGATAAATGTTTTATCATGTATGATATGTGCATCTATGTATGTATATTTATTTCTACTAATATTTTATGTATGTGTATATATTTTGAAACATACCAAAATATCATATATCTTCATACCGAATATATACATGTTTCATAAACTATACATATGTATCTATGTATACATACATGCCCTCATATTTTATACAATATATACTCATGCTAATGTTAGATATATCATGAAATATGTATCAATATATACATACTATTGAGACATGTTATATGCACATACACACATATATATTTATAAAATGAATAAGCATAATTACACATAAATAATATATATTTTTTCAGGTTGGAGACCTAGCAGGAGTGGGCAAACTAGGGCCCATGGGCCATATCCAGACTGCCATCTGTTTTGGTAAACTTTATTGAAACACAGCAACTCCTATTTAGTTACACACTATCTAGGCTACTTTTGCAATACAGTGGCAGAATTGAGTAATTATGATAGAGTCATGTGGCTAAAATGTTTATTATCTGATCCTCTACAGAAAATGTTTGCTAACCCTTAATCAGTAGGATAAATTCTAAGTTCCCTAAGAACACATAAACTCTGCTGACTCTCCTTCTTCTCATCCTCATATTGTATGTGTTAGCTATGTAGAACTACCATGTGTGCAGTTACCTGAATATTAAATCCAATTTTGTACCCCTGGGCTTTATAGTGTTTCTTTCCCTAAAAATCATCCCAACTCCATCTCCTTTACTTGGTGAAATTTTGTATTTATTCTTGAAATCTAGCTTAGTTCTCAATTCCTTCTACCTCAGTTTCTCACCATGATAGAGAGCTAATCACTCTATCCTTTGTACTGTTTCTGTGTAATCCTCTTGTGTCTGTGAATGCTGTTATGCTGTTGAAATGCTCGTGTCTTCCGTTGTAATGTGTTTAATTTTGAACACCTTAATATTTCTGAAGTTGAGATGTATTTTATAAATGATAAATATATTTGATTTGTTAGGCATATTTTCTTTTTCTTTTTTTCCCCTGTCTTTCCTAGAAAGGAAGCCACTTTTAGAAAAACAGTAGTTTTGAAATGACAGTATATATTTCAGTTGGTAATATTTTAGACTCAAGGCATTATTTTATGTCATTGTCTCTATTCTTGGAATAGAAGCTCATTGAGGGTGAGTTTTTACGTCATTCATCTTTATATTTGTTTTTTTTTTTTTTGAGACAGAGTCTCGTTTTGTTGCCCAGGCTAGAGTGAGTGCCATGGCATCAGCCTAGCCCACAGCAACCTCAAACTCCTGGGTTCAAGCAATCTTTCTGCCTCAGCATCCCAAGTAGCTGGGACTACAGGCATGCGCCACCATGCTCGGCTAATTTTTTCTATATATATTAGTTGGCCAATTAATTTCTTTCTATTTATAGTAGAGATGGGGTCTCACTCTTGCTCAGGCTGGTTTTGAACTCCTGACCTCGAGCAATCCGCCCGCCTTGGCCTCCTAGAGTGCTAGGATTACAGGCGTGAGCCACCACGCCTGGCCTATATTTGAAGATGGTATTATAGTGCCCTGTGCATCATAGTTCAAGCATTTTATGTTGAATTAAATGCTGAGTCAATTTATATAGTTGAATGATATAATTTCAGGTAATAGTCTCCAGAATTAGTAAATTAGTCATACACAATCAGATTTAACAGCATCAGTTGTTGTTTATATGGTAAAAAAAAAAAGCATTTTGTTATGTAAATGTCAGTAACTTTAGTTAAATGGAGTAGCTTGGTTGACAATTCGTATATTTTTGTTTTACTGCTCAGAGATATTGTAGAGATACCAGGAAAATTAAAGAAAAAAAATGTGGGATTTTTCCTGAAACAAATTGTGCTAGGCATCATGTGACATTTTAATACCAGAGTAGAATAATATTGGATGATATAGCAATGTATATTTTTGAAAACTGTGTGAGACTCGTACTGGCAGCGTCTGTTGAGTGACAGTGCCAATAAATGGATTATTTTTAACTAGAATATTAAAACATCAGTGCTCAATACTATTTGAAAGTACATTCTCCTGTGAATACAGAACAACCATTGTGCTTTACATTTTGTTTTTTAAGGGATTGAGCGAGAAAAACAGGATCTGGAGAAGCAGGTGTCAGATTTGAGAGTGCAGCTGAACTTCAACGCAATGGCATCTGAGTTAGAGGAACTGAAGCGGAGCATGGAGCAAAAAGACAAGGAGAAAGCACATTTGGCAGCACAAGTAGAGGTGACTTTGCTATTTTTAAGCTGCATTTGAAAGACTTTAATTTTATTTCGTAGAATTGCTTAATGAAATTTTAATATAAACGTATTATTTTATGAACTCTAGTTTGAGTATAAATAATGTAAAGTCATGCTAATGACTAATTTGCTTATAGGATATATATAGAAATTCCAATAGATTCATTTCTCTTTCATTTGAGACCCCAAAGCCAGGGACTTGAATTCTTTTCCTCTATTATTTTATGGTCAAATCTTTTGCCATTTTTAAATTTGAAAATATTTTTGTTCTAGTAGCAGTTGAGCCCTCCCTACAGATAGAAGGGACCTTTCTTATCTGAGAGAACAGTGAATTATCATTTGTTTTGGGGGTAAATCTGGCAGAAAGCATAGTGAGAAAGTAATATTACTATTTTTTCTTTGGAACCGTATAGGTTTTCAAATCTCTAGTTCTGCACAAAATGAAGTTGTGATGCTTCCATTAATTTAGAGTTGTGTAGTAATCATGTATGATGTGGTAATCATGAATGAAGTGTAACTAGGCAGCTACCATTTCCTGCTTCACTTTTATCTAGCATAGATGAAGTAATTATCAGAATATATTAAAAATCAAAGGGAAGGACCTCATAAAAGGAAATGGCTTAATTCAAATTATAATTATGCAAATTAGATCAAATATGGATGACACATTTGGAAATAGATATGTATCAATCTTCCCATGTATCTGTTTTTATTAGGGAAGCTGTGTTCTAATTGTAATAAGTTGCAATTGAAGGATTTCCAAATTATAATGAAAGGTAGAAAATTGGTGTTAAAAGCACCTGATTTTATATAACCCAAAGGAAATATTTAATGTTACTCCAGTCTGAGTTTCTCTTTCATCTTGTCAGCATGTCAATAGAAAATGTCTTTTAGATTTGGTTCAAGATTCAGATTGTAAAGATAATGAAATATTGACATACTCTTTATAAATCCCTCTACATGATTAATAAATACTTATTTGAAATAGTCTCAGAGCAGTGGTAATTGTATGACTTTTAAAGTTTGTTTCATGGGTATTATTTTAGCCCTTGATCCTGCTGATGAAAATGCTAAAATATGATTATTTTGCCAAAATTAAGTTTTTTTTTAAAAACTATGCTAATCAATCTCAAAGGCAGAAAAATTCATGCTGCTCATAGCCATATGTTGATCCTTCCTCTTTTCTTTCCCATTGTTTCTTTTTTCCATATAAATTGGGGAAAAAAAGATCCAAAATATGTTGAGTATTTTAAAAAATTGCTTTTAATAGCCTAATGCTCTTATTCGAGGATCCTGCATTTCCCTTGTCTTAATTTAATAGTTCTTAATTTAATAGCTCATCGAGTTAGGGAAAGAGTTTGCATTCTCTTGGGTTAGTTTGTTGATTGTACAAGGTTTGGGTGTGAGAAAGAATTGAAGGAGAAATTTTTACTCACACATTAAATACTACTGACTGTCTATTACATGCTATTCAAGGTGCTGGAGACATAGCAGTGAACACAAACCCAGGCAATTCCTATTATCTTGCAGGTGATATTCTAAAATTGATGTTGAAAGTTTTGAGTTTGTCTTGCTTCTAAGAAGAAATTCCTTTTGGGGAATGAAGGATTTTTTTTCTCAGTTGCTATTGAAAAAGAAATCAGCAATCATAAAGAAAAAGACAGCATTTACACGTGGAAGAAATTACCATTAACTAGTTTCATTCTTTCAGGTTTTCATATTTTTAACAATAAAATAATTATTTACATCAGTGGTTTTAGAGTTAGTGACACTTCTGATTAAGCTTTGTATATTGTTCATAACTTTTGGAGGCCCTCTGAATATCTTTATTCCTGAGCTCTTCTCAGAGTGAATAGTGCAGACTTTGTGAGAGATGTGGGTCATAGATCACTTGATTATAACCTCTAATAGTTGAGAATTTTATTGAAATTTAATTCAATATCATTTAGTTTTGCTTTAGTTTTAGGGGCTGTTGCCTTATACATTCTATTAAAAAATAGAGATTAATCTCTTCTAGTTGCTTTTTAGAGACCAAATATGAATAAAAAAGATGAGATTAGTCAGGTCCAAGAACATTTGTATAGTAACAGTTCTTATAATATGTTCAATCATTAATATCTTTCTTTTTAACCTTGATTTTCTGACAAGTCTTCTATAAAACCTCATATATGGTCATATAAATAATTAATTTTTTTGTAACTTCCCTAGTCATTTCCTTCTCTTTTGCCTTTGTTTCAGTTCTCTGTTTCTCTAATTTCTGTCTGTCTCTTTGTAGAAATTCTAAACTTTTTCCTCCCTGAAGCTTTTTTGGATTATGTCAGTTGTAAGTGATAATCCTTCCTTCTGAATAATCCCTTTGCTACTATTATTAATGTTCTTATGACACCCTCCTCACCCTCTCTTAGAGTAATCTGTGCATGTTTCTTTAAAAATTTCAAAGTTTGGGCCAAATTAAAGAAGAAAAGGAGATACAGGTGAAAATCAGCTGCGCCCTGTCACCAAGGTAGAGTTAACTCTGATGTCCTTACTTTGGTGAAGACATCATGTTTCAAGGTCCTGTATTCACATCTGGAAACTTGAGTTTTTTGTGTCTTACAGTTAATGTGACCCAGAAGACTGGCTCATATTAACACTAAAACTCAGAACAGTATATAAAAGAGTGACAGTTCATTGATTTACCCTGTAGGAGTCCTGTATAGATATTAAACCATTGTTCTCTTGTGCAGGGTGCCAATGTCCCAATTTTCTGTACTGAGATTTTAGAATTGTAACCAAAAAATTACTTGGTAATCACAGAATCAGTGAACAATGATGTCGAAAGTATTGTTTGTTCATGGCTATAGTAGTAAGGCTTCTCAACCTCCCACCTCCCTTTAACTGTTTACTTTGTGTCTTTATTCCTGGAGTGTGTTGAACTGACATCTCTGGTCTTTCTAACAGTCTTCTCCTGTGCTTCCACTCTGATGCTCAACCTCACATTTACCTTTTCTTTTGATATGTTGCTGTGCACAGATTTTGCTCGGGGCCGTTTACCAGTATGTGTTGATGTTATAATTCAAACTTGTGGCATTCTGGGAGCCACTTATGAAGTTAGAGCTTCCCTTTTCAGATCATAAATGGATATGAGTTAAGAACCAGGTTTTATTTCTGTGTTCCTACATAATGTCTTATCCATATTAGGTATGCAATTAATATGTGTTGAATTAAGTAATACACCGTAGAAAAATGTTGGTTTTTTTTTTTTAGCTAAGCTAATATTTGTTGTCCAGTCATTGCTTAAAAAAAACCATTTTTTCTGGAAGAATTTTTAATATTTGAAGGGCTCTTTGCTATGCGACATTAATTGTATTAGTTTTTGTTGATCCAGAATACATATTTTAAGCAGTTGTTTTACACTAGGGAAAAACAGTAAATATAGCTGTTAAAAAAAGAATGGAAGAAAGGTACATTTGAATTTGAATAATTTACCTTTCAAATTTTACCTAAGACTTTAAATCTGTATATGCATAGAAAATACTAAGTGCATTTTTTTCTTCTTCTAAACTCAAGTATGAACCTCATTAACCTTGATAGGCTATTTGTATTCATAAGAATTCTAAGCATCCTTGATCAATGATTTCCCCTGATTTAATCTCTGCCTCCATCTTCCATCAACTTACTCTTCTTGAAAAATATTTGACTTTTAAATTTAAGGAAGAACTTCAAAGAAAGAAAAAAAAACCAAGGTGCTGAACATAATTTAGATTAAATGTTGAAAGTGATAATTGAGTGACAACTGACATGATTATTCATTAGCAGAAACTTGGGACTATAATGCTAGAATTTACTTTTTGAAAAAAGAGAGGATAGTAGAAAAAAGAAATGATAATCAATAATAAATTTTTTTTGACAGTACATTAGAAACAGAAGGAAAGTTGTTTCTTTTACTATACTTTTAGCATAAACTCTTTTAATTCTTGCATTTCTTCTATAAAGCTGGCCACTTTGCTATATGATAATGCCCTCCTCAATATTACTAAAATGTTGTAAAATAAGGAATCACGTGAGTCTTATGTAATTTTTAACATCCAGATTAGATTATAAGGAAGTAGAAATTGGCAGCAAAACTGTAGTTAGAGGCTAAAGTTATCGAACCTAGTAGAGATTAGGTTTGCCTTTGTTATTAACCAAATTCACTCTGGTATTGGGGCAAATTGGTAAGTCCATAAATGCTCTGTACTGTGAGTTTTTCATAAAGACCATTGGCAGAGATGTTCTACCAGTAAAAACCCTATTACTAAACCTTTATACTTCCTGGAAGACTTAGTGTAATTTTTAGATCCTTCATCCGTATGAAAAAGTAGGATTTTTAGGAGTTAGATGGTAGTTTTTCTATTTTCTGTAACTCTTTAATTTGCATGGATATTTCCAGAAAGCCAGAAAGTAGAAGTGGACTGAATATTTTAACTTTCTCCTTAATATATCACTGATATTTATTAAGTTTATCATTTGAATGTAGCCAATAAAGTAATTTAGAAGTAAAAATATTTATTTTCAAGTCTCCTTATTTTCTGAAATCATGGTAATTTCTGCTTCATGTTTTTTACATATAAATTAAATAGGACTTTGTGATTCTTAGCTTTGTGTACATGGTGTGCAAGTGTATATGTGTATTTGAGTGTGAGAAAGTAACAGATAATTTAGGTTTCTCACAAAATATGAAGTATTTATAAATTTTATATTAGCCATAGAGTGATTTAATATTTAAAGCAATCATAAAGATAAAATATGGCTTTGGGAATAATTATTTAAGGAATTGCTATGGAAAAATAGGTAATATGAAATAAATCCGGTAATATTCTTACAGTATCTAAGTAATTGATAGTTATTCATTTCTTGACTACCATAAATACCATTAAAAGAGAGCTAGAAGACTTTATAATAAGCAAATTTTAATTGTTCATCCATTATTCCTGTAGTCTTTATAGTTACCTTATCTTTAGAATG